CCACCTTCCTGTCTGCATTTTTGTGATCAGAAGCAGCAATCAGCAGTCTGAACACAGAACCCCCATATTTGGATGACAGGGTACATTTTGCCCACCCTGCCTCCCACAAGCTGCATGCAAGCTCTTCCTAAAACATGTATGTGGCTCCCTGCCACAGGGCTGGGTGTAGGAATTTAGTGGACAGTTGTTATGTAGGTGGGAGACATATTCCAGATGCTTTCTATTATCCCACCTTTCCAGAAACCCTCATTCATTATTTTGATTTACTTTTTATATTGTTCTGAGTTGTATATACTTATCTGATCTCATTTATCTAGATGAGAAAATAGAATCTTTTTTATTAGTACATATTAGTACTTTTCTTGCCCAAGGTCCCTTCTTTCTGGAAGATAAAAAGAACTTTGTATGCCCTTGCACCCAACATTAATGACAACACAAGGAAAGGAAGAAAGAAGAGGTGTATCTCACCTGACATGGATTGTTCACTCTTTCATTTTCTCATTTAACTCTTATGTCAGATACAGAAAATATAATTATATTGTCATTGTTTTATAGAAGAGAAGATTGCTTTCACTAAGTAATCTACTAGTAAATGATATGGTCAAAATTTAAATCCAAGTATGTCTGGCCCCAAAGTCCACATTTTTTTTCATATTCCATATGGGATTTCCTTGTTAAGAGAAAGTTTGTTCATTGTTATTTTTATTGATGATATCAATCACTGTTTGGTCTTTATCCAACAAGTAATCATATTAAACGCATGAAGCAGGTGGGAACCAACTGAGGGTAAATAGCTGTTGCATTCATCAGCAAGTAACATTGACACTCACTGAAGAGACAATATTGACCCCAGTGGGCTAATTTCAGAACTCCCAGCTCCCATTAGATAGTCCAGGCATACACCAGTAAATGTGGGTGATTTTGCTTTTTCAGGGAAATGAACTTCAACAGAAGAATATAAAGAAAAGTAAATTACAGAGTAGTTCTTATTTTGGGGTTCATCTTAACCCCTTTGTACAAAAGAAATATTTCTGAAGAGTTCATTAATATATTTGATTTTGAATGGACCTTCAAAAACAATCCCCTGTTAACAGGTAACTTATTTCAAATTATTCTTTAAAATAAAAGGAAAGCACTTACACCCTAACTAAATTATTTAACAATGAATTAATTTATTCATATATTATTTAAATATGACTCCCATGTATTTTTACGTCCATTCATAAAGACATTTTCAATTTGCTTCACCCAGTTTATCGGGTTTTTGTTTGTTGGCAAATTCTCAAATATCCATGGTTCTTCAGAAGTTAACAAAGTGTTTCCCAAATTTAGCTAATATTGACAACAGAGCAGTGAATATCTTAAATGTATTCTCCTGTGTACATGTGCATTTCCCCAACCTGGGAAAAAGGGAAAGACTGTAAGTCTTGATGACCTTCACCTCGCTTAGAAAACACCAAATTCTTCTGCACAACAATTTATCAATATTAGTGTGGTTGAATTGGGGGAGAAAAACTCTATTTCATTTGAGTTTTCTAATTATTAAACAGGGTAAGCAACGTTTTGCTCCTTTCTATCAGTTGACTCTTTCCATTGCTCATTGGACTACATTTTTCTTATGGATTTGCAAAAATATTTAATATACATTGGATAATAATCCCTTTATTGATTATGTATAGGACCAATCTCATCTGCCAGTTTTTAGTTTATTTTTGTATTTTTAACTGTGTACATGGATTGTTTTATTTCACAAAAGTATATCTCTATATTTATTTGTGTTTTTCAATACAAGTATGACATGATGGTAAGATCGTACACTTTTCTAATATAGTTTTTGTTGTAACCATTATTTTTTTTAAATGTTAGCTTTTACATCAACCTTATTGGTTTTTTGCATATTGAATGTGGGTCCAGTAATTTACAGAATAATTCTTATAAATTCCAATCATTGGTGTCCCTTAAATTTTCTATGCACATAATTACACAATTCACAAATAATCTATGGCTTTCCAATGATTACAGAACTTATTGCTTATTTTATTGAGTTAGCAAGGAATTTCAGAAATGTATTCTGCAAGCAGTGATATTTAACACCCTTATCAAGTTTCTTCTTTTAATTATGAAATTTCTAACTTTTCACTTTTAGAAGTGTCATTTGTTATAGACGTTCTTGTAGATATTTCTTATCAGGCTAAGAAAGCTTTATTTTATTAACAGCTTGTTTTTTGCATGTTTATCAAAATAAATACTGCATTTGTATGCTTTAAATAGTTCTAGGCTGCTTTTCTCCATTAATCTGTTAATGTGGTAAACTATATTAATAGGTGTTTCTGTTACTAATGTACCATTGCATTTATTTGAAAATCTCTTTGTAGTGCTGTTTTTCATCTTATTAATTGCTTCATTTGATTGCATTTGTTCATATTTCATTTTATATTTAACTTCTATGGTATAAAAGTCAGAAGATAATAACTTCATTTTTTTTGTAGTTAGCATTGGGGTTTGAACTCAAGGCCTAATGCCTGCAAGACAGACGCTCTTACTGCCTGAGCCACTCCCTGTTTGGTTGGTTGGTTGATTGGTTGTGACGGGCTTTTCATTTGCTCAGGCTAGCTTTAAACTACAATTCTCCTGATCTCTGCCTCCTGAGTAGCTAGGATTACAGGTGTGATAACTTCACTTTTTCACCTAGATTAGGTCTCTCTCTCTGTCTCTCTCTCTCTCTCTCTCTCTCTCTCTGTCTCTCTCTCTTTCCCCCATCTCTCTCTAACGTGCTCTTGCTTTCTCTCTTCTATATCAATATCTTTCTTTCTCTTTCCCAATATTTCTTCTTTCTGTTAGTACTGCCTGATCTAAATCATTTTCTGAGGATGATAAACAAAGTGTGTATATTTTCCATATTAACACTGGAATTTTACAGTTATACTGCTTTTAAAGTTGACTGCAGTAAGAGCAGTATAGGCAGCAGGTGGCAGCAGCTCCTACTCAAAGAACTGGAATTGGAGTGGGTCCTGTAACAGTTGGAAGCCTCCCTTGTAAACTAGATGAAATATAAAGTTCCTTCTGTCTGTAACTGCTGCTCATTTCATATAAGGAAAGAAAGATGATACAATGTATAAATTCCACAAAATTTGACAAAACATAAAGGACTCTTGTGTCTTTTATACATAATGAATAAGAAACTTATGAACATTGGATTTTAATCTTCAGAATTCCTCTTGTTTATTTAATTCCCCCTCAGTGCCTTCTCGCTTTCTAGGATGCCCCCCACTTCTAAAGCCACATGTTCTTCTGGGTCTCACTCAAGCCTTTCTTTTCTAAAGAAGTTGACCATAATTTTAGAACTTTTGCTACTTTTCTATTAAGTAATAGTGGGTATTAACAAAAATATTAGTAAATAGTGATGGTAAAACCAATGACCATATATTGAAATGTACCCTGTTATAGTCTTCTGGAAGATGTACACATTTTATCTACAAAATAATTCAATGAATGAGGTACTACTGTTATCCTCATTTTGCAGATATAGAAACGGAAGCACAAAAGTATCAAGTAACTTCCCTATGGACTCTCAGCTAATAAATAGAAGAGGCCAGAAGAACAACATAGGCTACCTATCTGAGCTTGGAGTCTGTACTGTTTATCATGACTGGGAAGTCAAGTGTTAATTAGACCAGTGACTGGAGAGAAGAGTGCTAATTAGGGAGACCATGACTGTGGAGGACAGAGTTAATTAGGTAGACCAATCCATGCTTATACTGAATATTTTAATTCTACTAGGCTATCAGCTGTTTTGAGCTATTTAAAGTGTATATTGAGTCGAGTGTGATGAAGCATACCTTCAATTCCAGTACTTGGGTAGCAGAGGCAGTAGGATTATCAGTTCAAATCCAGCTTGTGCTACACAGCCGGACTCTGTCTCATGAATGAATGAATGAATGAATGAAATGCATACATTTTCAAAATTCCTTTTGAGAAGGTGAATCTGCAGATGGAAATTTGAGAGCACTGACACAGTTCAGCATGGAACATATATTGCATGGAACACACCAAGAAGATAAATTTCAAGTTTTTAACCATCCAGAGACTGACTTTCCTAATGCGTTAAATGATGATAATAAAACTAAAACGTTATTGTAAAACTTAAATTAGATAACACAACAGCACTGCCAAGACATAGCCAGCATGTCCTCAACCCATACTACCTCCTATCTACCTCCCTCAGTAAACTGCAGTGCCAACTATATTTCCTTTAGGTAGGTTGAACCTGAAAATCTGAAGAGGGGCATAATGGGTAATTATTACACATTATTAATTTGATATCTCCCTCAATGAGTATTTCAATTGAGTGCATAATAAGTGTTTGTTGTTAAACTGAGCAAATAAATTCACAAAATTACATAGTGGACATTTTACATATGTAAAAACAGGATGTGTTTGAGTATTCAAAATGTATTTTTGAGGATGGGTTAAAATAACATTGCTTTTCCTATGAAATTTATGTATGATTAAATAAGAATAAAAGGCAGGGAATGGTGGCTTACACCTATGATCCTAACTACTAAGAAGGTGGAGATCGGGAATATCATGCTTCAAAGCCAGCTTGGGCAAAATTTTTGAGAGTCCCCATCTCAACCTATAGGTGGGCACAGTGGCGCACACCTGTCATCTCAGCTGTACAGGAGGCATAAATAGGAGGATCATGGTCCAGTCCAACATGGCCATAAATATGAAAACTTATTCTAAAAACAACTGAAGGAAAAAGTGTTGGGAGTGTGGTTCAAGTGGTACAGAGCCTGCCTTACAAGCACAAGGCCCTGAGTTCAAACCCTACTACCATTACTAAGAGAAGAAAAACAAAAGGAAGATTAATGATAGCTTGTTATTAATTTCTGGCTTAAAGATACCCATTTTTATTTGTGAAACCATTTCTTGTCCTCCGATATAATTGTGATTTTATTTGTTTAAAAATTCATTAAATTACCTGCTTTTTTTTTTAGACCCAAAACAGAAGATGCCTGGGTATTTGCAAAGCCCAATGCCATCCAGGCAGTTGGGGTTATGTCTTTTGGTGAGTTCATGTTTCATGGCCCTTTCCCAATATGGGCTCATTTGTCCCAGGAAAAAGTGCTGTTTCATATACATGTCTGCACAGCAGATGTCCTAAGTTTTAGGCTTCCTATTAGCAGCATACAATCTAGTTTGTGCCAATATAAAATTGACTCAAACTTTTCTCACTCATCAATAAAATTTATTTCAATTTGGGAAAATCTGTTTCTTATGCAGAAAACTCATTGCAGTTTTCTTGCTCCTTAGCTTGGAAATCCAGCAAGTGTTATGGACTTCTTCAAAGCTTTGTGCACAAAGTATTAAGAACTGGCTAGATGTCTAAAGCTGCTCTATGTCCCAGATGATAAAAGATGTTGTGCACTGATAATTACGGTGTTTAGATTTTTCCTTAAGAAGGGAAGGGTCATAAGGAAGGGGAAATGGGAGAGGAAGTTGCATAGGCCTGTCTTATATCAACAGTGATGTGATGATACCACACATACTTGATGTGAAAGAAGTTTCTCATTGATAGACCTATCAGGAAACACTTTTCTGGCACATTTAATAAATCAATATATTTGAGCTAATTGAAATTCTAAAGCAGCATGCATGTTTAAATTTTCAGAATGGAAAATAATGATGCTTTCTTTAGTAATGCCTTCCTTTTTGTATTTCAGCATTTATTTGCCATCATAACTGCTTCTTGGTCTATGGCTCTCTGGAGGAACCTACGGTTGCTAAGTGGTCTCATACCATCCATATGTCCATCTCGGTTTCTGTATTTATCTCTACGCTCTTTGCTACGTGTGGATATTTGACTTTTACTGGCTTCACCCAAGGTAAAATGAGAGGTTCAGTAACATCATATTTTGGTGCGCATGTGGATTGGTACCAGTATACCCCATGTGCTGCTCAGTTGGACTACAAGTTGGTCCAGGGTTCTATTCCAGTCACTCTTCCATCCATTCTCTGCTCTACCCTCATCCTCCCTATGTTCTGTTTCCTAATTTTTCTCTTCTTATACTACTAAATTTAGTTCTGTAATCCATATTCTCTTCTTTGGGCTTTCACTTCTAAGTGGCAGTCCTCCCCCAACACACTACACTTTCACCTACAAAGATACCAATGGCTTCCCAATGTCAAAGCTAAAACCATTCTTGGTTCTGGTTCTTCTGATCCTTTCTGAGGTACTTAAGAGCATTGAACAACCTTTCTTGGCTCCAATTTTCTTCCCTTAGAATAAAGAACACTACGATCACTGTTATTCTTTTTCTATGTTAACATTTTTTTCTTTCTTTCTTTTCTCTCTTTGACCGCTCTAAATCCTTCACCCCACCCAGACAATTAGCTCAGGCAAGTTTCTGGCTTTTCTGTCAACAAATTTTCTGGATGCTTTCGTCGTCTTAATTTTATTCCAGGCCTTTCTTTTCATCTTCAGCCTGTAGGGCATTCTTGCCTTGAGCAAAAAATATCATCTTTCCCTTAAAATTAGTCCCTCTCTCCTTCCCTCCAAAGTTGTTTCTTTTCTTGTGTCACCCAGACCCAATAACTGAGCGCTCCTCTCTCAATTCCTTTGACCCTTTCAATTAATTTTATCCACATACTATAATGTTCGGGGTAGTTTGACAGCCAGCTAAATGCTGTGATTCATATATTTCACAGCTTTTGCAGGTCTAGTATCTCACTTGACCTTCCAACAACCTTTGAAGGTAAGTGGAATAACTAGTTTTACCTCCTACTGAAGGAAAAAAGAAGTGAAGCAACTTGCCCAAGCTGGCTGGTAACAAATTAGAAAGCAAGTCTTTTGACATCCAAATTCAATTTTTTTACCCCCATTCTCTTTCTGTCTTCCCCATTTTGATCAGCCAAGACCTACTAAAAACTGTCTTTTAGCCTCCAACTCCTTTTAACTCAAAGTTTTCTGTGACACTGAGGTGCTTTGGGGGAAATGGCTTACCTTGTTTTGATCAGAGGTTACAGGTCACTATTATATGCAGTTATTTTCTGAATTGAGGAAAGATGTCTTAAGAAATAATGATTAACATGTTACCAATGCAGTAGAAAGTGTAAGATAGGTAGGCACCAGTAGAATGTAGTCAAAAGTGACCTTGAAAGTCTTGATAACAACTGTGTTTCAAAATGTTGCCATATATCCCTATTGCTACATAGTTTGCCAGGATGAGTGGCCTAAGGGCTCCCGCCTGCATAGGACCCTGGTTTTTTGAAGGTTTTTTATTTTGTTTTGTTTCTATACTGGGTTTTGAATTCAAGGCCTACTCCTTGAGTCACTCTACCAGCCCCTCCACCCCTTGTGTGTGTGTGTGTGTGTGTGTGTGTGTGTGTGTGTTGGGGTTTTTGTTGTTGTTGTTGTTGTTTTGAGATAGTCTGGGCTGGCTTCAACCACAATCCTGATCTCTGCTTCCTGAGAAGTTAGGATTACAGGCGTGAACCACCGGCACCGAGCTGGACGTTGGTTTTTAAGTGGCTGTTCTGTAAGATATAAATCGTTTTTGCTGGTCAGTCTTCCTAGTGTTTTTATCATTGGTAATTGCTCAGATATAATTAAATCTTTATACACAGCCCCAAGTGTGTAAACCCAGCACTGTGGAGTACAGGGCAGGAGAAGTGCAAGTTTGAGGCCAGCCTGGGCTACACAGTGAGTCCCTGTAATTAAACAAAAGGAAAAGAAAAATCTTTATATAACGAAACCTACAAGTGTTTGATGTAGCTGTCCTTTTCTTTACCCCAGCTGTAATTACCTAGAATAGACTCAGAGTCAAGCTGGAATAAGCTGACATTGTTTCTTTAGGTCATTTCTCCTTAGGCAATCTGGTCTTGTTTGTACACACTATGTGCTTCTCCCCTTTTTCAGTAGATAAATTCCAGTTTATGAAGTAGTGGGAACTCTAGATTGTTCTTGACATTCCCAGTGACTTTTGAAAAGATGCAGGGCCCTGTGTATTAGTGGAGATTAGTGAATGAGAAACTTCAGTCCTTGTTTTATTCAGAGTGCTGGAACCTTTTCAATTAATTTTGAAGCAGTTCTCTGTCACTTCTGCTTCTGTGGTGTAATCTTCTGCCCAAAAAGGACATTAGGAAGTAATGTACATTTGTTCTAGTTGGTGGAGGAAGGGACAAAGCATCACTTAAAGTAAGTCTTGAGAAGAGGCAGGTCATTTGGGTTATTTAGCTCTTCAATGAAAAAAAAATTACAGAGGTATTGTTTTGTTTTCTTCTTTTGAAACAGTGTAGTAAAGTATGTGACTTTGATCTAATTTTCTATTCTTTTTAATTGGAAAAAGGCAACTGCAATTTTCAAATTTAAGTGTGTTCTATTCAGGAAATAAACAGGCCCAAATGCTGTATTTCAGCAACAGTGTTATTTGCTCACATGACGTCTATTCCTTGTATTTCTTCAAAGATTTCTGAAAACAGGGGCTCTCAATTAGAATTGGGTTAAGGGATACACGGTCCATTATTTAGCGTGAAACTGATTAAATTTACTGTTCTTGCTTGGTTTCAGACATGTTTTCGGTTTTGAAACAGTATGTTTATATTTGGGGACATCAGATGACAGGAGAGACAATATATGTTTGGAATTCCTTGGTGTGGCCCCCTATAGCAAGATGTTCAGGAAATTCAGCTCCCCAGATGTCCTGGTCAACTCTTCCTTTCAAAATTATCCTTGATCTAAGAATAGCATTTCAAAGGGAAATGTGTTTACTTTATAGCAGACTTTTTTTTTCCCTTTATAATACAGTCACTTACCAGAAACAAAGACCAAAAGCAATTTACAAAGCCAATGCATAAGAACATAGGGCGTTGGTTCTGATGTAAGAAGACAATGGATGGAGTATTTTTCAGATGTTGGTACAAATTTAAGCCAAACCTACCAAAAATAAATAATGAAAATAGGAGAAAAAAAACCTATTAATGCTGAATTTATGTTCAAATGGAACATTTGTTTTAATGTCAGTGAATATATGATTATTGAATGCAAATGCTTATATTTAGACTTTGTAATCTATTCTCTTAATTAAATGATGTTTATAGAATTTCAGTTTTATAATAAAAATGCCTCACTTATTAGTTCAAATATTGGATACCTAGTGAGTAAATATATTTTATATTATCTTCTAGGAGACTTATTTGAAAATTATTGCAGAAGTGATGACCTGGTAACCTTTGGAAGGTTTTGTTACGGCATTACTGTCATTTTGACCTATCCCATAGAATGTTTTGTGACTAGAGAGGTAAGCACAGTTCCTTTGCAGTATTTTGTGCAGGAGAGCTCTTTACTACACTTAATTTGGGTAGATTTATCAATAAGCCTCTTCAACGAATTCCCAGCCACAGGGCAAGTGGTAGTGTTTATAAAATCTTTTTCAGTTCTAAACTGTTAGAATTTAAAGACGAATTGATATTCAAATGTTTACAAGATAAGTTTTTCGAAAGTTGAAACTGAAACTTGGTGGTTTGGTTATTATTACCATAAGCACAAATATTTATACAACTTCATCCCAAAGTAAGTGCCAGACTTTAGTACAGCCTGATTGAGGTTATTGGCTTTTTTTTTTATAGCATTCATATGAAGAAACTAAGTACCAAAGTTTAAGAAATGTTATTCAAAATTATCTTTTTCCTAAGGTTTTTTATAAGTCAATGTGTATTAAAGGCATCATAAGCCAGATTCAAATTGGTTCTATTCTTTTCAAAAAGCTAATATATCTTACAATCTGTGAGAAATCAAAATTCAACCAAAACCTGTAGTATTTCTGGCATATTGCAATTTATATATATATTTATAAATATATATTATATAAATATGCATATATATGTAATATATACAATATGTGTATATTTACATAAATACTTATACATGTTACATGTATTTAACATACAAAAATGATACAAGTATTAGTATAAATATATAATACAGTATAATATTTCACTTATATGGTCCACATAGCTTTGTGGAGAAAGGTTAACTGAAAGAGAATTAATTCTTTTGGTGTAATATTGGATAACATGACTTTTCTTGAGTCTTCTATGCTGTTGCCTAAACACCCATCATGCTGGTCAGTTTAGCACCTGATCCTGCTTCACAGTGGTTCTTTCAAAAGTCACCCTGAAAAGGGCTTAGTTTTAGTATCTATTCCTAGAGGCTATTTACATAGTACTCTATGTGAATGAGTCTAAGTAAAATGTCTTCAGAGCTTTAAATGCATTAAGTAATCCTCAGTCTTCTCAAGGCAGCCCCGCACTTTCCATATGCTAGGTCTGAGTACAAGGATTATCACAGGGACAGAGAACTGGGAAATGTTCAGCACTGCACACGTCTTCTCCAATGAGAACTTCTGCTCACTTACAAGTGCCTAATGCATAGGCCAGCGCTCTACCTTGACTAAAAGGGAGAAGTAGAATAAACTAAGTACATATTTTTAAAATTTAAGAGATGTTCAAAAAGTTACTGATTATTGTTAGATGCAGGAAATGGTATTCTTTCAGTGTCTTCCTAGTAGTTAGTTTCAGATCTGATGTCTAGATCAGTGAGAATGGATGGTGCATTCTCATATGGCTTCTGGTAAGCTGCTTATGGATGTCTGAGTCACTTCACCTGCACTATTCTGTCTTTAGAATGTGGAGCTTCAGTTTCCTTTCTAGCTGCCATGACAGGAAGACAGAACTAAATCAAGATCTTTGCCATGGTAGCAAATACTATGCAGAGAAATGTTGTATATATCTCACCTATTCAATTTTCTCTTTCTACACATGCACACGTGTGCATGTACAGAGAGAGAGAAAAGAAATATACAGTTAACACAATCAAAACCATTTCTACTCTTAGGCAAAATAGCCACATATAAAGAGGACAAAAAGGCTGTGCATACCAAATAAATAGCCCTCATAGACTGCCTTACTTAATGATTTTTTTCACTTTCACAGAACTGACTATAAGAATGGATTCTAAATAAGATAATATTTGGGAAGATGTAGTAAATTAAGATCAGATAAAGTTATTAGTATCACCATTAAATCCTCAGCAGAGTCCTTATAGCATCTGTTCTGTAGGGAAAATTACCTATGTAGGTAACAACTTGGAGAGTTTGTTTTTTTACAATACCCAGCACCTGACCTTCTTCTGCCATTTTCAATTCTTGTCTCACTGATCTTTTGCACAGAGTCACCATCTATTCAGACATCTCTTCCTTGTCCCCCACAGATAGTGTTCCTATTCTTACCTCTTTGCACTGTTTCACACTGTTGCCTCAGCTTGTTATTCTGCTCTAAATGTTATCCATGTTTCCTCTCCCACCTCCAGCTAGGGTTGGTCAATCTCATCTCAGGAATGCTATAAAGAGGTTTGCTTCTAGAAAACAAAAGCTCCTTCTAGGTCTAAATTCTACTTGATCTATTTTGTGCTGCCATAAACTTATTTCTATTTGTTTCTTTACATTGGTTGTCAATCTCCAATTAGGATGTTAATTCCTGAGAACAGGAATCCTCTTCTAGATATTTTTTTGCAAATTATATCACAGTGTGAGATGTATTAAGTAGGTGACTATTGATTAGTTTCCTAATCTGAGTATTATTGGAAAATGATGATGAAAACTTTCTCCATTTTTATTGAGGAAAAGCAAGGTAAATTGGACTTAAGTTGTAACAAATAGGATTTAATTATATAGCATTACTTTTCTCTTAGTAAAGTATACTATACATCCAGTCTCATTAGAAGGAAATGTGGTAACACCTTCTGTAGCAGTCCTTCAAATAATCTAAATACAATCTGTTGCTTGTTCCATTAGTTACCTTGATGGGCTCAAGAAGGATAAGGTAACTTCCGAAGGGCTTTCTTGAGAGATGCAAGTATTCAAACATTGGTATGCCATGCTCGGGGTTTGTAATATAATCCACCGACTGACTGACTCAGACAGGAATACTCGTTATTGCTATGTGAGTCTATGTATAAGTACTTTGGAAAGTTAGAATATTCAAAGTGACATAAGATTTGATCAATTATCTTACTGGTGGTATTTTATACTGTCCTAAGTGCTATTATAAAACACTTTATCAATAACTACTGCATGCTCCAAGAGTACCTCTCAAAATGATCTGTTTGGTTGGCAGGTATTGGCCACTGTGTTTTTTGGGGGGACGCTTTCATCAGTGTTCCACATTGTTATCACAGTGGTCATCATTGCTGTAGCCACACTGGTGTCATTGCTGATTGATTGCCTCGGAATAGTTTTAGAACTCAATGTAAGTACATTTAAAGATTTACTCCTTTCATTCTAAAAAAATAATATTTCCATTTAAAAAGTGTCACTTTTTAAAGTGGACTTAAAGTGTTCAAAATAGTAAATATTGACAATGATGATACTCTATACTTTACTGGACTATATAGTTTTAAAGCAGTAGGTCTCAGCTGGGCATCCATGGTTCACATCTATAATCCTAGCTACACATGAGACAGCGATCAGGAGGATCACAGTTCAAGCCAACCTAGCCAAATAGTTTGTGAGACCCTATCTCGAAAAAACCCATCACAAAAAAGGGCTGGTGGAGTGACTCAAGGTGTAGGCTCTGAGTTCAAAGCCCAGCACCATAAAATAAATAAATAAAAGCAGCAGTTCTCAAAGGGGAGTATTCGGGCCTTTCTCCTCCAGAGTACATTTAGTAATGTCTGGAGAGATACTTGGTTGCATAACATGCTAAGCAGTGCTACTGGCATCTAGTGAGAAGAGGCCAGGGATCTATCGACCCCCGCCCCACTTTCTTGGCTGTACTCAGGTTTGAAACCAGGGCCTCACATTTGCCAGGCGCTTTGTTACTTGAGCTACTCCATCAGCCCTTTTGTACTGGGTATTTTCTAGGGAAGGTCTTGCGAATTTGCCTGGGGCTGGCTTTGAAGCACAATCCTCTTGATCTCTACATGCTGAGTGACTAGGATTACAGGTGGGAGCCACTGGTGCTTGTCTCCTTTCCTTTCTTTTCCTATGATTATTCTTTTATTTCTGTCAAAATATTGTATGGCTTCACAACCCAGTGCAACTTTTAACTCATTTATTCAATTAGCATGTATTTCTTGAGTAATTAATTGGTATGTGCCACACAATGGAAATACAATGCTGGAAGAGAATAAGAAAGGGTACATTAAGAATGGCTTCTTGGGCCAGATGTGATGGCACATGCCTGCAACCCCAGCTACTTGAGAGGTAGAGATCAGGAGGATCAGGGCAGCCTGGGAAAAAAGTCAGCAAACCCAATGTCAATCAATAAGTCAGGGATGGTGGCTTATGCCTGTGATCCCAGCTACATGGGAGGCCATGAGTAGGAGGATGCAGTCTGAGGCCAGTCCTGGGCAAAAACTTGAGACCCTATCTAAAAAAATAACCTGTAACCTAAAAAAGGAAAAGTGACTGGAAGTGTGTCTCAAATTTCCAGAATTTCTGATGATAATTACACCAGTTAGAATTTATGGGTTGTGCGCACATAAGAAGGGCAGGTTTGCAGGCAGAATCCCAAGTCTTCACTCACTCATTCCAGTGAGAGTCAAGGTCTGGGTAAGGTCTTATTGTCAGAGTCTAAGTCACAACGCCTTCCAGATGCTGTTTCCATTTGAAGTTCCAGACACAGGGAGTAGGAGAGCCAATTTAGGAGCGCATTACTGGGAATTTTCTTGTATCAGAGTAAATGGAGGGTGGAGACTAGAAAGTTTTCCAAAACCTCAGGGGATAGGGAAATTCTTATTACAGCAGCAGTGGGGAAAAAGTCCATGCATTTGCCTCACCCATCAAATGCCCAGCCACTTAGAAAGCTGAGGCCTCATAGCTCACTTGAGCCCAAGAACTCATAGATTGAATCATCATGACCTAGTCTCTAACAAAACAAAACAAAAGTGAAAAAAAAAAGCTCATACAAGAGGTAGACAAATGTCAAAGGCAACTTTCACCTACTTCCCAATTTCTCAGAATCATTTCATGTAGCCTCCTTGATTTGTGCAAATGGACCATTGCTACTTTAACGTAATAACTTGATTAATATAATTTCATCCAAGTGCTGTTTCAACAGTGCATACATTTTCCTTACCTGTCAAATTGTAAGCTCTTTGAAGATAAGAATAGTTAACCACCTTCTCTGTCTTTCACAATACTTGGCACAGTACTAAGAATATTATTCTCAGATCACTGCATGGGTGATAGTTCCTCAAGACCACGGTTCAGGACCTATTTCTACAACTATTCTGTACATAAGAGTATTCTTTAGCAAACTAGTAGGAAATTAAGTGTTATCAAAAAATGCTGGTGTTGACAACAGTCATAATCTTTCAACTACACTGTAGAAATGATTAACATGAAGATCTCTGGTCCTCTTTCTTCCTTGTTTTATGAAATATCTCATTTGTGGTTACAAGTTTATTTGTCTGTTTTTTTTAATGTTGTATTTTTTGTTTCATTGCTCTTGTTTGTTTTCTTAAGATAGGGTCTCCCTATGTAGCCCAGGCTGCCCTAGAACTCTCCATCCTCTTACCTCTTACAAATGCTCTGATTATAGGCATGAACCACTAGCCTAGCAGTGCTATAGGATATTGTTGAGAGAAAATATGTTAATTGCCTGAATGTTCATCATGTCTTTAAATCCATAACAAAAGTTTTTTTCCCTTTAGTTAACCAAGCATATTCACATTGCTCATTTGTCAGGGATGATACATTTTTATAAATTTAAACATTACTTTCTGTAGAGTTAATTGCTAATCTCCATGAAGCATGTACAGCAAAATCATAAGCACATAATCACACTAAATATTCCTTATTATACTTACATGGAAAATGATTTGTGATTAAGACAGAATCCCAGTTATTATGGAATAATCACAGAAGAATACTTTGTAAACATCTATTTAAAAGCCAAGAGTTGTGCTGGCTATGGAAGCTATTTTTAAAATTTAAAACATGACTCTAGATTCTTAGATTTTTTAAAACTTTCTTATGTAGATAAATATACAACACAAAGAAGCATATTATACTATGACCTACTAGATCAAAAAATCATGGCGCTAATTTTAAAGCACTTTGTGGGAATTAATAAAACACACACTCTTCATTCTCTATGGACCACTTAAGAATATAAGTTTTTTCCATCAATAAAGTTCTTTGTATATGCACAACAGTGTATTTGGTCTTTAGTCAACTCCCTTTTGTGTGGCACTTACATGTCTAATGGTGCCAAATGGAGCATCATTTCTGTCAGTAACTAATACATCCAGGCCCATGCAACACAAAGTTATTAGCACATGCTGTGCTGTACTTCGTTCCAATACCATGCTAAGTGCATTGCATACGTTAACTTCCTTAATCCACCACAGGTGAAGAAACTGAGGCACAGCGATTAAATGCAAAATCTGAGGTCGCACTAGTTTGTAAGTGGAATAATCAAGACTTGAACCTAGGTATTTGGATCCTAGAGCCCACATTTTTTACCATTGTCATGCTCTGAGAATTCCTAAGTGGCAGTGGTTAAATTATGTAAAATGATTCTGCTCTGTTATCTATTTTTTAAATAAAAAACTAGGTGTTCAGCATGATGGTACATGCCTATAATCCTGGCCCTCAGGGGGCAGAAGCAGGAGAATTGTGAGTTTGAGGCCACCCTGGTCTACACAGCTAGATCCTGTCTCAAAACCCAAAGGCTGGAGATGTAGCTGAGTGGTAGAGTGCTTATGTAGCATATGCAAGACCCTGGATCCTTAGCACTGCAAAAATAAAACAAAACAAAAAATGTGCATTGTTGTCTGTAAGCACAGCTAAGAGTAATCCACATATTATTTGAACAGAATTTAACGATGTGTTAAAATAAATACCTGGCAATAAAATAACACGAAACTACAAGGTTCTTGTCTTAAACTTAATCGGTAGCTTTCATTTTAGTTAATATTTATCTTAGGTGGCGCTAACGACTAAGTTCTGGGCCTCATTATTTTATAATCATAATACTTTAGGAGTTATTTTCTATTGTGGCTTCTGAATTATCACTAAGTTGAACAATGACCTCCACAGATGAGATGTATATTAGAATCATATCTTGCAAAATTAGAGAAAATGTTATTTAGGAAAGCTAAATGATATAGAATAAATTATTTGGGTTATATTGGTTATTCAATAAAGTTAAAACCCCATTTGGCATTTTACTTGAGTTCATTATTGTCATGACAGTTGACAACATTGAAGTATTTTTCCAAACAAAGGCAGTCTCAATTTTAAAGGATTCATTTTGTTCAAATAAAACAAATGTAAATCCAGTTCTTGGTAATAAGAGCCCAGCATCCTGGCATGGTGTTGCCTTAGAGAAAAGAGGAATCTGCAGTAATTGGGCCCTATGGGTTTCCACTTACAGCAGTACAAAGAGAAAAATTAAACAGCTGGTGCCTGTGGCCAGAGTTAGCAGCCCAACATGCATTGTGTGCAGATTGCCTGGAAAGAAGAAAGCTCACCAAGTACCTAGTGAGAGCCCAGATGTAAACACAGAATCATCAGTGCAAGCTAGCCACTGTCCAAGTTGCCAGCAACTTCCTCAGGTAGAGACAGCTTTGTTTTTTTAAGGTATAGGAATAAATTTTGTGAGTCTAAACTGATTACACAATAGAAATTTAAAAGATGCCCGAGCAGTCTTTTATTTAATGTTTACCTCCCTTGCATCATTTAAGGCAGTTCAATTTAGGCAGAGAATTAAGACACTTTTCCAATCTGTATTATTAGTAAATATCTTCACTACCCTCTACTCTTTCCCTATTGCAAACTGCAGGCTTTTCTGGCCTCAACTGTGTTATTAGCAATGGATAGCACTGAACTGCCTTTAAAAATAAAATACTATTTTGCTGTCTCCTTAGCTTGCAGTTACAGTTTTATGACTTGTCAACCACTTTGAAAAACTATTCCAAAACAGATCTATATTAAACAGATTAAATAAGCTGGGCTACTTTCTAGGGAATAGGTCACGTGGAAGTGCACTGTCATTTTACTAGTGGTCTTGACTGCTAGTAACAACCTCTAGCAAAACTGAGCTTTCAAATATCCAAAAAGCACTAGTATCTAAACAACGTAATCAACTGGGCTTCTTCCAGTACAAACATTAGCTATCTAATTCTCCCTCTAAGTGTTACTTTCTCAACTCTTAAGAATTAGGACATAAACAGAACACCTATTACTTTGCCCTGCTCAGAAAGTTAGGTTTGGAAGAGTTCCAGCAATCTGACTGATGACAGCAGCTTGTGGTGGTTTGCATCTCCATAGGACCATCACACGCCACTGTCCAGCTGAGTTAACCTCGAAGATTCTTACTGCAAAGAGAAGAAATGATAATGCACACACTAGTGTATACAGGATGTGAATTATTTTGTCATTTTCAGAATTTTTACTTCAAAGAGATCTGAGATTGAGTCCTGCAGTATTTTCCACAACTTAAAAAAGCATGGTAAATTCCAAGTATTGTGACAAAGTTGATGGATTTCATAATTCATTTAATTCCAGTCACAGGACAACTAAATTTTTGTTTATTGTGTACCTTTGTAGGTATTTATTTGTATTCAGTTGCTGTGAATGCCAAAAGTACGTTGCCATTTAATTAGAATGCAGTTAGTATCTCCTGTTATTTTACATCATCCAATCTCAAATTTAGTTTGCTTTGATTGATGCTGGGGAAACATCTATGACAATAGTACTCCAAAAAGCTTGTACACTCTAGGTGATAAATGCATAGAATTTCATTATACTATTCTTCTATATACTTACAAGTTTTCACAATGTTTTGAAATATAGAAAAAATTTTATGGAAAGTTTGTATTGAATTATAAACAAATACTATATTGTGGCCAGACACAGTGATTATATGCATTAGCCTATGATTACACCTACTCAGGACTGAAGTAGAGATTAGGAGGATGGAGGCTTGAGGCCATTCCTGGGCAAAAAGTTGGCAAGACCCTATGGAATCAATAAACCAAGTGTAGTGGCATACGCCTGTCATCAGAGCAATGTGGGAGGCAATGGATATGAGGATCCCAGTCTAAGGGGAAATGTAAAACCTCATCTGCAAAATAATTAAAGCAATTGGGGTGTGGCTAATGTGGTAGAGCACTGGCCTAGCAAGTGCAAGACCCCAGTACCATGAAAACATATACACAAACACACACACACACACTCACGTACTCTCTCACACACACATATATTACATTACCAATTGGATATATGTTTTTAAAGTTATATGGCTTAAGAGAATAATATTACATTAACAGAATGAAACTTGATAACCACATGACCATCTTAATTGACAGAGATGAGCATTTGACAGGGTTCAACATCCTTTCTTGACAAAAACTTTTAATAGTTTAGGTGAAGAAGGGAAGTTCCTACACATAATAAAGGTTATCTACAAAAAACCCACAGATAACATCAATGGGGAATAACTAAAACTCTTCAGTTAAGATCCAGTATAAGGAAGAGATGTCCACTCTCACCATTTCCTTTCAACATAGCACTAGAAGTACCAGCAGGAATAATCAGACAAAAGCAGTAAGAAATAAAAGACATCTGAGTCAGGAAAGAAAATGTAAAATTATTTCTATTTGCAGAAGATATGAACTTGTATATAAAAAACCCCAAAGACTGCACACACACAAAGAAAACACTGTGAGAAGTAATAAGTGAATTTACTATCATCGCAGGATCCAAAAATCAACATTTAGGGCTGGTAGAGTGGCTCAAGTAGTAGAGTGCTTGCCTACCAATGTAAAGCCTTGAGCTCAAACCCCAGTACCACTGAAAAAGATAAAAAACCAAAAAACAAACAAAAAACTCAACATTTAAAATCAGTAGCATTTTTCTACATAACGAATTAATAAAGAAAATGTGGCATATGTACGCAATGGAATAGTACTCATCCTTTTAAAAAGAAGGAAATCTTGCTGTTTGCCTCTTATGTGTCTGAAACAAGCTAGACACAGGAAGAAAAAGTGTTAAATGAATCACAGTTCAAGACCAGGCCAGAGAAAAAGTTAGTCCATCTCAATCAATAGCTGGGCTCAGTGACATACGCCTGTCATCCCAAACTAGGTGGGAGGCTGAGATAGGGAGGATCACAGTTTCAGGCCAGCTTGGGCAAAAAGTTTGCAAGACTCCATCTCAACAGAATTGGTGTGGTAGCATGGGTCTGTCATCCCAACAACAATGGGAAGCATAAAATAGGATGATCATGGTCCAGGTTGGTCTGGGCAAAAAGCATGACTCTATCCCCAAAATAACCAAAGTAAAAAGGGCTAGAGGTGTTGGCTCAAGTGGTACAGCACCTGCCTAGTAAGCACAAAGCCCTGAGTGGAAATTCCAGTACTGAAAACAAAACAAACAAGAATGTAACTGGTTACCAGGGGCAAGGAGTAGGGAGGGAATGGATAGGTGTGGATTAAAGGAAATAAATTAGCAGATACATAGGATGAATGAGTCTAGAAATTGAATGTATAACATAAGGATTACAGTTAATAAAATTATATTATATTTGATATTTTGTTAAATAAGTACATTTAGCTACTTTTGTCATACAGGAAAGTAACTGTGAGATTTTCTTCATTACAATAACCACTTTATTATCCATATGTACGCCATAACATTACCTTACAAACCTCCAATATGCACAAAAAAATTATTTTAAAAGAAAACTTTTATGAGTTGAGAGAATAACATTTGTCATAAAGTTTTAATATATTTTAATGATACTATGTTTTACTTAACATATAACACTTGACATAATTAGAAAAATACATTATCTAAGATCCATTGAATTTTAACATTTACATCATTTGGGAAGTTTCTAGTGAGAATTATTCTTATTCAAGGGGAAAGTCTCTTTTCCTTTGAAGTCACTAACTATTGGTATTTTTATAATAGACAGTTCTACTACCTGTTATTTTCAATCTGATATTTCCCTGTAACTGTGTTGGGTTTATCCATAGTTAATGCAGGGAAGGGTGAACAAGTTATAGTCACTAATCTGTTATCAATTTTCTAGGGTAATTAACATATGTAGCTTCACTTGAAAGATTTAGAAATGCTATTTCATGTAACATGCTCATAAGGCTATAGTTTTCCTTTCTCACACAGATAGGTATTACTGTCATACAAGTCAGGTAAAGAAAAAAGACAAAATGCCCATCCAGTTTTCCAAAAGGCCCCATTGTACACAAATGGCAAAAAGACCACTCAGTATTGACAGGCATATTAACTAGATACACAGTGATTTTAAATGAAGAGTAGAGGAATCACATCCCCTTGATGTGCTTGAAAAAGTGGATGATTTCAATCAGGTTCAGCAGAAGTTAGTCTTATCATAACTTTATTTTCTATGTCATTTTCTGAGCATCTGTTCTTAAATCTGACATACTGTTATGCTATTTTACTTTTTCTATTTGTAAATATTCCATTGGGAAAGAAAAACCGAATTCTAAGAGTGTCTTAGAATTATTTTTCTTTCTTTTGTTTGATTCAATGAATCTATCAAGCTTTTAACATGTGCAATAAAAAATACCTTTTGTAAATGTTTTTTAAAAAAATATCCAAAGGAGGCTTCTATCCTGTAACATTTTCTTGTTTCTCATCTTCAACAACCAGGGTGTGCTCTGTGCAGCTCCACTGATTTTTATCATTCCATCAGCATGTTATCTGAAACTTTCTGAAGAGCCAAGGACACACGCAGATAAGATTATGTCCTGTGTCATGCTTCCTATTGGTGCTGTGGTGATGGTTTTCGGATTCATCATGGCGATCACAAATCCTCAGGACTGTACCCACGGGCAAGAAATGTTCTACTGTTTTCCTGACAATTTCTCCCTTAGCAATACCTCAGATTCTCATTTTCAACTGACAACACAACTTTCCATTTTAAACATCAGTATCTTTCAGTGAACTGATTGCTTAAAAAAGTATGCATGCTTTTATAGACTTCTAAACCACCTAATAATACTCACAAATGTTCATCTGTATGTTATAAAATTACCACTTTGTTATCTATCAGGTTTTGCTTTTCTTGACTCTTTACATTACCTTAAATCAGGACAAGTGTTTTGTTCTAATGACTTCACTACAGTAATGCTAATTGAAGAAAGAAAAGGGAAGCCACTAGCATTTGCTATCACCCCTTCACATCATTACTTTTATTTAATATGTGAGCCAATATATTTTGCTCCAAAATAAGTAGGTGGTTGAGGGTTGGAAATTTGTGTATGTGTCCATTGGAAGCAAATAAATGTTTTAAAAATCTGTACAATTGAAGGTAAAAGAAAAACCAAAGATATTAAAAAATATCTCTCCCAACAGCAATGAGAAGTTCTCTATTATAATTTCAGTAGTATCCCTTGTTTAGGGGAAGAGAATCCCTAGAGAAATGAGCAAAGTCCTCCCTGTGTTAGGAAGAATGAATAATAGACTGGATGTGCAGAGAAAGTTATGTGAGGAGTCAAAATTATCTCCCAGAATTTGATGGTTGTGCTATTTTTAAACACACACACAGACACACACTGTTCTGAAGCATGAGCCTAAAAGATCAGTTATGCATCTGATTTTGACCTGTTGAATTTGTAGTGCTGGCAGGCATATACAATCAGAAGCTGAACTTTGAGACAAGAAGTTTATAATAAGAATCAGGCTATACCCAAGGCACTGTTTTAAGTCCTTAGAGATTTTAGAAGCGCTTGTTGACTGGGGTCTTCGGAAGCAGATGCTGCATGGAATTTGTCACGCAGGGCATTATTAAGAATCACAGCCAATGGGAGAGGCAGAGGCAAATAGGATTAGAAATGAGAAATTGAAGTGCAATGCAAGATGACAAGGCCCGGGCCACTCCACAGGGAGTGTGGAGCCCATCAGAGCTGTTCCTGTTCAGAGGAAATAGCCACGCTGTAGGACTGCTGCTTCCATCAGTCATTGAATGTGGGCACCTGGGGAAGGATGAGCTTTTGGGCTTTGCAGCCGAACAACACCAAAAGGAAGTGTGAACTGGAGGCGAGGTGTCTGCTGATGGCTGGGGCACTACATGCATCCTTTAGGAAGATCTGGGAACACAGCTGTGTCTACCATACAAGCCTTATGAGGATTTCACATTTTTGTATCTATGACAATCTTTAAAAAGTAATGAAAGAAAATCAGAACCATCAGAATGGCTTCATTTTACATCAAATATTTGTATTCTGCTTCTTTTTACCTATTTTTCAGTCAGGTTTCCATCCATAGTTTCTTATTAATTATTGCTATATTGTGAGAAAATATCACAAACAGAGTTAATTCATACATAATTTGTGCAATTCACAAACAAAAAATATCCCACAGGATGTACATAAAAAACAGTTCACTGTAGTTTCAGACAAGTAGTGAGAGTTGAGTCATCACACAATATAGTAAGAAAGACTTAAGAATACCAAAGAAAACCTGTACCTTAGCCAGCTCAGGTTGTGAATGGTGATTTTTGCTCCAATAAAACATCATTCATGCTACTAAATTAATTTAAGTTCTGTTGACTGTCTTGCTTTTCTGTATTTAATTTGTAAAATGTTTATACCTGCTTGAGTCTTAAGTCTAAGCAGTTTATGGCTATTTTTAGATTGGCACATATTTAGGTAAAATAATTTAAAAATATTTTCATTCCATATTAAGGAAACATAAGAAATTTTTGCAGCAGTCCATCCTTACTTACTCAAAACTGAGAAACACTGATCCCACCTAGTTATTAAAGTTACAAGATTGCTGGTGGCTCACGCCTGTAATCTTAGCTACTCAGGAGGCAACGATCAGAGGAATGGAGGTTCAAAGCTACCCCAAGAAAATAGTTCCAGAGTCCTATCTTGAAAATACTCATCATAAAATAAGAGATAGTAGAATGGGTCAAGGTGTTAAAAAAAAAAAAAAGTCACAAGCGATGAAATTACCAAGAGCTACAAAAATTTCAAGGATCAGGTAATGTAGTACTTAACCATCTGTTACTTTGTACTTTGGGTATTGCCTCAGATATGCTAACTTTGAGTTTTCAAGTAGGTAAAAAGCCCTTGGTAGGAACTGAATGCTGACTTAATGCCTACTAAATATTTGTTTATTTGTTGTTAATCAACTGTAGAACAAGACTTCCTTTGACCCAGTTATTAGGTGTATAGATTTTTGTCTTTCAAATAGTGACTGAATAAATCTTAGGAACTCACATCTATTTTGCAAGAATACAGAACACTATGGTGACAAAATAAAGCATAACTCTCCATCCCCATTGAGATTTCCACTGAAACTCCTTGTCTCTAACAAGGCAACTTGCAGGATTTAAACCAGTATTTCAGGCTATCACTACATTTAAATTTCTACAGTGTTTCCTAGTAGTACATTTTTGGTAAGTATAAATTGGATGTCATCTATGTAATTTAGGAATGGGGTTCTTGTCCCCTTCACTTAGAATGTTTGATTTCAACCCTCCCTGGAGCCATTTTCAAAAATCAGATGAGTATCTGGCCTTGCCTTGGGACTATTTCCAGGAGTCTGAATCCAGGTTACCCAACTAAGAAACTCCCAACTAGTCCTCTGCTGAAGGCATACTGTGTACATTTACTTAATTAAAGACATGTTTCTTAGGTAGAACCAGGCCTCTTTCTGGTATATCTGCTGTATCCCTGCTCAAGAAAGCAGGGCTGGTCAGTTTTTTTAAGGAGAAGTGGCTTCTAACTAGACTATGTCCAGTGGCCACACAGTTCAAGAGTTTTCAAAGCATGAACAAGTAAGTGACATAGAGTAACTATAAGTGCTTCATGGACAGTGATGGGCTGTGGTGGAATAATAATTAGTAACACCAATTGGATACACTCCTTTAAGAAGTTATACTTATTCTCGCTATTTCAGATGAAAGAATGCTTTTAATCTCAGCTACTCAGGAGGCCAAGATAAGGAGGCCTGTAGTTGGAGGCCAGCCTGGGCCAAAAGTTAGCAAACTTAACCAACAAGCCGGAAGTAGTATTGCACATCTGTGATCCCACGTACTGGGAGACATGGGGGATCGTGGTCCAAGGCCAGCTCTGGGCAAAAATGCAAGACCCTATCTGAAATACTAAAGCAAAATAAATAAATAAATAAATAAATAAGAAAAGGCTGGTGGCATGCCTCAAGTGGTAAAGCACCTACTTAGCAACCACAAACCCTGAGTTTAAACCTCAGTACCACCACCACCACCAAAATATATATATATATACTTATTCTAAAAAGCATATGAAGAATTTACTCAGCACAACAATAAAAAGACAGAAATTTTAAGAAATCTAATTCCCAGCCTGAAAAAAAAAAAAAAGAATTTACTTGGATAACAAAGTGAATTTACAGAGAGGACAAGAGAAACCCTGAACAAGAGAATACACAGACCAGGAGAGAAACAAGAGTACACTTACTCTCTAGATCAGTGGTTTTCATACTTGAGCACGTGTCAGATTATGTGAAAGACGTGAAAAGTACAGATTCCTGGGCCTTGCCCCAATGATTCTGGTTCAGTGCTCTAGAGTGAAGCCTGAGAATTTGCGTTTCTAAAAAGTTCCCAAGAGATGCTGACACTGCTGGTTCAAAGACCAAATTTTAATAAGGTTAGACTTCAGAAAGTACTAGGTGAGGACATCTGTTTAGAGGATAGGACAAAATACAAGCAAGACACAGGAAGGGAGGGGCAGAATAATTAAGAACAAAGGGGAAAACAGAGATTACAACCTAAAGTCAACACAGCTGTGGTGGTTAAACTGAAAGCCTAGTTCCTAGCCTGCCAGCCTTCAGGGAAGTCTGCCTGAACTTTACAGCCCTGATTATGAGATGGAAGAAGATACACCAGTTCCTCAAAAGTACATGCAGTTTTTTAAGGACTAAATTCTCAACGGAATATGAGTAAAACTGAGCTATGAACAATGTTCTTGGTAACATCATGAAGATAAAGAATTAATGCTACTCTCTTTTATAAGACACTTTCTCATACCATTCATGTTTATTCATTGACAACAAAGATTAACTTTGGTATTTTCATTGTATTATTATTCATTTATACCAATATGTATGTGTTCCATTAAAACAAAAACAAACTGGCCAACAAACAATGTTCAGTCTGTGTAAAACTCACTCAATTCAGGGTTCTTACCAGCTCACACCCAGACTGATGAATGACTTCAAGCCTGAGCATTACGCCTGTAGGCTCTCTGTCCTCCATGATAATTTGTGTATAACTTCAAGTATCACCTTACTAAACCAATGTTTTGATAATATCGCTTGCTCAAAAGCTTTCTGTGAAACTCTGGTGCTTATAGGAAAGTAAAATTCCATAACTTGCTTTCAAAGCTTTCCTAACGTGGCCTCAACATTCTAGTCTGGCCCAAACTGGCCATGACTACAAAAAGGAACCCTTGATTGTAGCATAACAAAAGTATTTCTTCACATTGAAAGTGCTCTGTGGAGCTTTCACCTTTGCCCCTGAATTCTTGCAATTCTTTCATCTGAAATAGCCCAAATCCCCAACAAAATTCCATTAGTCCCCTAGTTTTTGCCATGTGCCATCTTTGGCATCTTTGCCATCTTTGCAAGCTAGTTTTTGCCATGTGCTAGCTTTGCAAGCTAGTTCCTCCTCTGGAATTCTGGAATTCTTATAGCTATGTTGCATGAAGAATCTTGTCTAGCCAACCACACTAAAAATTTCATGAGAACAGAGAATGTAATTTAAATGTGCTCTTTTAATTCTTTATAGCCCATGGCACAGTGCCTTGGAATGATATAAGAGAGAAATCAGTTAATTATCCAAAATATTTTATTGGATTTTTTCCAGCAGCTTAATGTAAAATAGTCATTTACCCAACAACTAGTTTAGATAATTATTTTTGCTTTGTTTTACTCTGCATTGAACTGTCAGAGAAATTATACAATTAATTTTTTTAAATGACTCAAGTACATACTCATCAGCTCCTATCT